GCAGGTGAACATAGGTTATTTTCCCCACAGAAATAAACAATGATAACGTTTACAATTTAGTAGTCAAATATAGCCATAGTTATATTCTTCGACAACAGTCCATGAAGTTTTGTATTGATGCTTTTCTCCATTGTTGATCAAAGTTAAAAAAGTTCACTTGAAAGAGAATTTTAGAGATTAAAAAAAAAGTCTTTGCCATAGTTAAAAACAGTTCGCCTCATATAGTACCTGTTACTGCAAAAAGATCCCTGTATGGTAAAGCCACTGGTTATGGAATAAAAAGTATGTTGGGTTTACATCTCAAAATTCATCAATCTATGTAATGTTTGCATGTTGAGTACAATGAGGGCATTACCAAATAAGTTATAATTAATAGCTTCACTTAGGTAAAGAAGGCAAACCATTAGTGAGGTGAATCTATTTTACCTGATTTTGCCAATTACTACATTACATTCTTCCAATCCAGAAGAACATTAATGCAAAATATGAATGGCTGGGCAGGCTTTTGAAAAAAGAACTAAATAGAAACGTAGCTCCCAAAATTGGTTATGAGAGTATTAACTACTGGAATGAGATTAGCCAGTATGCCCAAAACAGTACATTGCTGCTGTGGTAAATTGCATAGAGCAGAATAAACATTCCAGGAAGTTTTAATTACCTTAGTGATGAACTTTCATCTAACCATATTTCTGATTCAAATGCATCTGCCTTCACATCCCAGTCCACTGAATTCTGTCTCATGAAGGTATGTACACAGACAGCAAAGAAATCACACTGCAACAATCTCCTGGAAGAAAATAAAACAAATTTTTTAGTTTCTTACTGCAAAACATGCTCCTCAGACGACTTCTAATTGTTTTCTGAACTCTTCCCACCTTGTTAACATCTGTGCTAAAAAGTGTGGATGCCAGAATTGGACAGAGTGGTTCGTTTAATGCTGTATTCAGTAGCAAAGATGCTGTTCCTCCTTGAAGCTTTTTGGCACACGCATCCATTTTCAAGGCTGCATCCAAGGCCACAACGAGGGTGGGTGGCCTTGGGCTAGCTGGAGAAAGAGTTGCATCCTCCAGCCCCCACTCCTATTCTCATTTCTCTTTGCTTGAGCAGCCTGAGACCAGCACAAGCTGTTCCCCCAGAGTCAAGGAAGCAGGGATTGGAAGATGGAGAAATGAGATTGGATGCACAAAAGAACATGCTTGGGCTCAGTAGTTAGGCTGAGAACACCTGGGAGATGCCGTACTGAGTTCAGCTGTTAGTGAATTACTCCACGCTGCTCTTGGGAGACTGGAAGGGTCTTTTGCACATTAAGATTATGATTTTCTCTCTCCCATCATTCTGCTGCTGTAGGTAGAAGCTAGCTTTGCCTATAGCTACTCTGGCTGTACTTGTCCATACAGAGTTTTAACAGCCAATTGTAATTAAATTCTTTAATAAGGACATTAGAATAATGGATAAAAGTATAATTTTAGAGGTATGACCTAGCTGAGTATTTTAAATGGCATAAGGTGTTTAAGGGTAAAGAATAGCTGAGGACTAAGAAAAATATGACTCAGAAAGTAGTGAAGACCAAATAAAAAATACAAGTTAATGGTTCTTTTCAGCTGGGAAGGATATTAACAAGGGGAGATCCCAAGACCTACACCAAAATTGGGGTTAATTATATAAATATATTTACTACTCATCTGGAAAGCAAGCATGCAATAGCAGAGACAGCATAATTGGGAAATTACACATGATTGTTTAGAAAAAACACAACTTAAAAAAAAAAAAACCTAAAAGCCTAAAGGAAGGGACTGGACAAGATGGCAGCTGAAATTTAGTGTAGGTAAGTGTGAGGTAATGTGTACTGAAAGGAACAATTTGAACTATTCCTATATACTGATGGTTTGCAAAATCACTCAAGAAAAAGACCTAGGCTTTACTGTGGACAGCTTAATGGAAACTTCTACCTAGTGCACAGTAGTGGTCAAAAAAGCAAACAAGATGTCAGGTTAAATTGACGATAGATTGGAGAATAATACTGGAAATAACAACAGTATTATCAAATACATCAATAAAGTATTCTTCATTTTAAGATTAGCTTATTTTTCTTTCATTATCTGAAAAGAAATAGGAATCACCTGGAAAAGGCAATTAAAAGAGATTTAGGGTCATAGATAAACTTCTATAAAATGGAAGATTTTTAAAGAGTGTCAGAATCGTGACATCCTTCAAATTAAGGTTTTTTTCTCTAAACAACTTCTCTGCTCCTCAGTTCATCAGTTTGTAAACAAGAATAGCGTGAGCCACTGACCTTTGTCATATCTACTGAGATGAATGGATGAAAAGTTACATACAGACTGTGGATGAGCTTCTTTCGAGCACAGAGCCTGAATGTCATTTCCCTGCTGCTCCAGAGAAAAAGGGAAAGGGTCAGTTCCTCACCAAACCTCTTCTCTGCTGTCTGCAGGGCCCAGTCCAGCACCACGTCTTATCCAGCTTAGGCTCAGCTGACGCCTATACCCAGCGCCTTCTATTCAATCTTTAGCCACTTCCTCAAATCCACCCTAGCACCCTAACTTGAGACCTTTCCTCCTTGAATCCCTTCTGTCCCCTCATGCCCTGCACTTACATATCTGAACTATCCTCTGCTACTTCCAGTCTCATACCAGTTACCCCCCTGCTCCCCACATGGCTTTTTAGCCCACTTTCCCCTCACAGCAAGCACAGCTCACCAGCTTAGTTCCTTGAGTGTCTGCTGTCAGGATTATCAGCACTATTGGACATCCATTAATCTGCCTTCCCCACAGTACCTACACAGCAGGCCACTTCCCCATGTTCTGCAGACTGCTGATAGAAGCACATGATGCTGTTGGCATTATCAATTACTATTCATGGTAAATGAGAAAAACTAAAATCAGAGGTTAATTTACAGCAGAGGAACATACACACACACACACACACACACGCACACCATCCAGCTTAGGGCTATAGCATGCCTCACTGCATATATTGCTTAGACATTAATTATGGCAGGAGGTTTCTTTCATAATTACTTGACATGCCAGGTTGAAAGCTGTCCTGTGGATTATGGACAATGATATACACCAACCTCTGTGGTTCCTAGGGTAGAGTGCTTGCTATAAATAGATGTCAGATTTGTAAATTTAACATTGTTTAGTCTGAGGATAAGTGAGGAAAATGGGAAACACATTTGCCCAGCAGTGGGAGGATGTGGAGTGTTGTTTTCTGCTGAGGATTTTTATTTTTATTACTAAACTCTTGAGAGCCTAGAGATGTCACAAGGTCCTTTTGCTGTTCTGGACTGTGAAACCAGGAGGGGAAAATATGAACTGATGCAATTTTCTGTAACTTACAAATGTGTTTAGCATTTTCTGTGACAGCAAAGGCAGTCAGAAAATTTAACTGTTTCCTTTGTGAAGTTTATTTTGTTTGTCTAGAAGTTTGCTCTGTTCCAGCAGAGCTGGCACTAGTCTTGTGCAGAGCAGGGGCAGGACACTTTCCCACATAAGCAAAATAAATTCTAATTACAATAAAAAGAGGAGGAAAAAAGAAAAATTAAAGTTATGCTGTGAAATGGCATTATGACCTCTCTAACAGGAAGCATATGGAATAGTAGCATGCACATAGGTCTGAGAGCCAGGAATAAATCTGTGCTAGTCTAGACATGCTGATTCCAGCTGTGGTTCTGAAACAAGCTGTTAGGGCTAGAATTTGATTAAGTCTAATACCCATCTGGAGAGGATGATGAATGAAGGCAGAATAACACTGTCCCATCAGAGTTGTGCTAGAGGTACTTACATTATGGCTGGGATGCAGGCAGGAGAACAAGGGTTGTCCATTGTAATCCCCTCTTTCTGACAGTGACTGGATCCGCAGCCAATATCAGAAATCAGGGTGGTACATCCTATGGAATGACAACTTATCATGCAGCCCTGTTCTCTCCAGTATAGAAAAAGGAGCAGAGGAAATGTCTTTACTCAGTCCTGTTTTCCACTTCTTAGTATGGCACTCACTCATGATTTCTCTTGTGCTTTCTCCACTGTGGCTGTAACAATTAATTAACTAATATTTATAAGTATCCAGAAGACAGAAAGCCTACATATTATGTATTTAGGGTGAATAATTACCTCACAAAAAGACATAAATAAACATTGACCAATGATGTCTCTTCAGAGAGCAAAGCACTAGCAGAGTCTTACAAACCCTGACAAAAATAAAAAACCCTCCTCCTGCCTCCACGCACTTCCCCAAAACAATGAATCCCTCTCAAGTGATCTGATATGAATAACATTTGCACCTCCTTTCCTATTATCTTATTTTCACACAGCAAAATGATCCTAGTTTGTCTATTTGCTTTAGCTTGATTTCTGCCATCCTCAGACAAAACTCTTCCCTCCACTACACAGACTTTATTCACCAAAGAAAAACCTCCCAAAGCCCTTGCAGACCTTATGAAAGGCGTTTTCACTCACTTGGGTTAAATGAGCACTGTGTGTTTTCTTTCTTCTTTTTTTTTTTTTTTTGGTAGGGGCGGGGCATGTAAAAAGTAATAAATGAATCATTTCAACTTTGGGCAAGAAGTTTAGGTGTTGTATTTGTACCATGCAACTACATAAACACAGAACGAGCCAGTTAACCAATGAATTGCAGGAATGAGAAGCAATGACATGATCTAAAACATTTTAACACATTTTCCATATATTAGCCCTTGGACTAGTTGTGTTTTGCTTTCTTACAAGAGACACAAGTCAGTAAAAGTCCAAAAGGAAAGTCTGAGGTTTTACATTTCTGTTTGTGGTACAGGAAAAGGGTTACGATCTCAGTGGTTGATTCAGTGAAATAACATCTCTTTTATACACATCTGCCTAGCAAGTAGGGCGGTAGTTGGAAATACCCAATCTAAAGCATTAAAGATTTGCTGGCAAATAGCAAGGCATTTTCTGCAGAGGAAAAGTTGTTACATTGAGTAGTCACTTTGAATGCTTAGGAGTTACAGTCAAATATCCAAACACTGTGGAGTTACACTGCATTTATTATTTTGTCAAGTATTTAACACACTGGGAATTGACTCTGCTGCATATTTCATATCCAAGAAGGCATCATAATAGTGGACTTACATAAGAAGATACTTGGCAATGGTAAGTGATATTTTTATAGAAAATTATTTAGGCATCATACAGTCAGCTGTTTTTACATGTCGGTATGTATCATTTTCAACTGTTTTAATTTAGGAATTTAAGAGAAGAGGAAACAGATAAGAGGTAAACCCAGAGGTGTTTCACAAACTGTTTTTGTCTGTCTATTCACTGTCACTGCTGTTTTGTTTTTAAATTATATGAGAAATTTGAAGTAAATTATTGTTGTTCAATTATCAGCATTATGAATTAAAACACATACACTCTATGTGGAAATACCTTCATTTAGGACACTCCTAGTTTGCTGTGCAGTATTTCTTCTATTTCTCCTGACAAATATAAAAGCCAGCAGAGTGGACCAAAGACTTTTGTGAGTTTGTAGCTTTCTTCAGTTTTGAAGGCCTATCTAAACCTGCAATATTATAAGAGGCAGAAAAGAAACAAAATCACAAATCAAATGTTTCATTACTCAAAAACATTTTAAATCTACAAAACCTCTCTCACTGGCAATTAATCCTCATAAATAAAGAAATGAATTAATTGCAAAACCAGATGAAAAGGAGAGAATATGGGACTTTTTTTTTTTTTTTTAGCTTTTGCTAAGTCCACTTTTTCCCAGAATTGTGTCTAACCTTTTTACTCATTTCAACTCTGCTGTGTATCTGCAGGCTATATTCTTTAAATACTTCATTTTTCTTTAAAGCAGCAATGCAGAAAAATGCATTTCTCTGTGAGAACTGCATAGGGATAGTATCTAATCCTCTGAAAACACATACACATTTCCAAACCATTTTAAAATTAAACATTAATATGATTATCTACTACAGTTTCAGAGCATAGTTCCAAGCAAGACATCCAAATGCACTATTTACTTGAATCTCTGTATGAACTAGCCTATACAGGAAATCAGTAAATTGCTCCAGAGTCTCAGCCTCAAAGGGGATACGTATTTGTTTAGTCATATACTATAAATAACATCTGTAGACTTGAAACCTTGCCAGCATTATTAATGCAGTGTTCACTTAATAGTACCCTTTATTATGAGCCTCATTAGTAACTGATTCATACAGTATGAGCCTACAGAAAAAACATGCAGGCTAGTATAGCACACAAATATTGATATATTACCCACACTGCCAGTGTAACCTCATTTGTTATGGAGCTGCTATGCTCCAAGCTGAGCACACACCTCCTGGTGAGCAGCCCCTTGGGAGATACAGTCAGGGCAGAGGCTTCTGGAGCACCCCTTGCTGCTCCTCTGCAGGGGGATTGCTCTCAGGGTGGAGGTGGGGCCAAAACACTCCCCTCTTGCCTGCCCTGTACCAGCCTGTGGCTGTGAATGGATGACATAAAGCTGTAGGCCTGTCAAATTGCTTGAATTTATGCTGAAGGACTGACCCAACAGACGATGGCCTCTTCATCACTTTTACAGCTCTTTGTTATTAGAGAGCACCAGTGATGTTATCTGCTGCTTTTATTTGCCTAGTGCTGTTACAACATATTTATGCTGTCTATATTACAGTATGACACACTGTACACTGTAAAATAACTTGCATACTTTATCATATGGAGCAAACTTTGTATGCGATAGATTCTGCCTAATATGAGATGGGCTGGTGTAGGGTATCATTACTTGACACCAGCAAATTCTTGTTGCTTTCTTAGAGTAGTTGTTAATTGTTTTGTTCTTTGTCCCATTAAAAAAAAAAAACCCAACATTTAATTATCTTATAGTATTTTTCATCAGAGAAATCCCCACCCCACACATCCTTGAATGTTTCTAGGGATGGGGCCTCTGCCACCTCTCTGGGCCACCTGTTCCAGTGTTTGACCATCCTCATTGTAAAAAATTTCTTTCTTATGTCTAGTCTAAATCTATTCTTCTTTAGTTTAAATCCATTATTCCTTGTCCTGTCACAACAGGCCATGCTAAAAAGATTCTCCCCATCTTTCCTGTAGGCCCCCTTTAAGTACTGGAAGGTTGCAATAAGGTCTCCCCGCAGCCTTCTCTTCTCCAGGCTGAACAACCCCAACTCTCTCAGCCTGTCCTCATAGGAGAGGTGCTCCAGCCCTCGGATCATTTTGGTGGCCCTCTTCTGGACCCGCTCCAACATGTCCTCAGTATTTAAACTGAGGTCATCACAAAAACCCCAAAGCAATCAAATATTAGGTCATGCAATAAAGTTCCATGACAACTCCCACCCGATGGCCCCCCTTACCGATCTTCACAAAAAATGCTGGGGAAGTGGTCATGGGCCTTTACTGTGCCATAACAGTAACAGTCAAGCTTTTTTGGACAAATACAGAAATAAAAGCAAATGAGTATCAGGACACAGCAATGTTTAACAGAAATGGTAATTAATGAGCGTAACAATCTATCTGAGGATATAGCAAGTTTTCAAGATTGGTGGAATAATGTCTTTACATTCAGATATAGTTCTTATTTTAAAATGATATGCTTTACCTAGAGCAGAAGTTCTGGTGGAATAATGTCTTTACATTCAGATTTGGTTCTTATTTTAAAATGATATGCTTTACCTAGAGCAGAAGTTGTTGCCATCAGTACAGGAATTACAGGTTAAATTTTTCTGACAGGTTAATTATACTAGCTAATTAGTACAACTTCTTCTGGGCTTAAAATGTATGATTCTGTAGGAAAAAAAATATCCAAGATCAGGAATCCTCAGTCACTGGCTCCCAGCTATTTAACATTAGATACTGCTCTGAAGGTGTAGGCTGATTTCAAAACATGGAAGAAAAGTCATCTCCCAAAGACACTGGATTCTAGACTGTTTAGGATGACAGCTGACTCCTGCACCATTTATCACACCTATGAGCAGGGCGTCACTAGAGTTCATGAAGCACCAGAAGCACTGTAGTTTTTTGTCTTACCAGGGAGCTATTTATGTGACAGATAATACTGTTTCACCCATGAGAAACCTGTAAAATAATCTAGTCTTATCTTGCTGTCAACAATAATGCTAGTGGGTAACATACGTGGTGTGCACTACGACTACAGTTAGTGTTAAAAGCTGCAGTACTGCAGAAGTTAAGAGCAAGAAAGCTGCCCTTGGAGCTTTATACTGTTATCTTCAACACCACAAATAAAATCCATCCACTCAGCTTCATTCTGATTGTCACAGCCTAAGAGATAAAGTACAGCAGCAGCAAAGTGATGTGTCGTCAAGACTTGTTTAGTGCAGAGTTAAGCAGCAGCCTGTATTAAGTAGCTTTGCCTCCGCAAGGCACCAGGAATGACAAAACCTCAGAAGTAGCTACTCCTAAAGCCTTGCAGTTGAAATAACAACTGTAGTTATAAATGTGGCAAAGTCATGTTATTCAAGCATGGATACCTAAGAGAAGAGATTGCATAATTCCTCATCAATCACTGATAAGGCTAACTTAAAAAAAAACCAAAAAAACCAACAAAACAAAAAACCAAACAAAAAACCCCAAACCAAAAGAACTCCAGAACACCTCCCCTCTAAAAAAACCAAACCAAAACCAAAACCAAACCCAGTAACCAAGACAGGACCATGCATACTATCTGTGAAATGCTAAAGGATAACAAGCCCCTGACTGCAGCGAGACTGAGATCAGGCTGCTGTAGGAAGCGGTGCCTGTGTCAGAGCATAAAATATGGAGCAAATTCTGCTACTGGTACTCAGATGGACTAAATATATTCACCTTTTCAGTACTTCCATTCATTCATATCTGGCTGTTCAAGGTGTAAAGGAGAAGGCAGTAGCAACGAATATGACGGAATCCAACACGAACCTGCAATAAAATGTAAAACTAGACAGGTCTAAATACACCTTTTATACTGAACTCATGAAAAATACAAAGAAAATTTTCATATGATTTTTGTATGTAGAGTAAGTTCATTTTTCTTTCACCCTTTAGTTTTTTTCCTGATAAATCATAGTTTTGGCAATTGATAATTCTCCTTTCATTCAACCTAAAGGGCCTCTTATGTCAGCCTACAGTTCAGGGGAATATAAATCAAAAGGAATGCAAAGTCAGATGAAAAAGGAACATTATGTGACTGGAAATGTGGAAAGAAGAGGTAAAGTCATAACTTTTTAAAATATTTGTTTTAAATTAGAATGACACCATACAGGAGAGCTCACATAATGTTTTTATTACTCTGGTGCTGCAGTAAGTTATAAACTGTGTATTGGTCAATGGCTTTAAAAAATTGATGAACCTTTCTTCATTACCAGATATTTAGCACCTTCATAGCTGACACAAATATTCTGTAGTGTTTCTCTAAGCCCAACATAATCGCTTACACATAGTCTATACACCCAGTACAAAAATATTAAAATAACAAACACAACCCACAACACTTTGTTAAAAGGATACCATTCTTGCTATGCCTCATATGCTACACCATGGCTACAGTCAATGCTCTTTACACTGATAGTGCTGTAATTTTTCAATGGCATGCTCTTAGTATAATACTTATGTAGATCACATAGGCTACTTTTTCTGCAAACAAAGCATTGTATTCTTCATAGAGTTCTAGTATATGTTCTCAAGATGAGGTAAACATACTTTGGGTGTACACTTAGTATTAGACCCTCTTCCATGGAACTATATAAGCAATATTTTATAGCTTATGTCTAAGGCACTGCAACAAGTAAGGACACCAGCATAATGTTAGTAATCATGCAGAGTGCGAATGAGTGTCATGCAACACAAACATATTTGGGAAGACAAGGTGTAGGAACTTTCATTAATTCACAGGAAGGCAAGTCACTGGAAAACAGTCTAGAAGGCTGCAGAGCTGGAGACCATTATGAAAGAGTCAGGCAATAAAGTCCACAAAAGGAAGTGGATTTTTAAAAAAAGATCTTAAGAAAAAGGAGGACATCCAAACATATGAAAGCAGCATGAAGCTGAGAGAAAGGAGGGGCAGAAGAAGAAAAGATAAAAGTATGTAGAAGATAGAGGATGACATCAGTACAGACATCAGTGAGAAAAGGATTCTACAGAGACTTGAAGATCAGGATATTTTTCCTAATACAAGAACTGATCAAATCTTAAAGGCAGTGAATTTAAAACAATTACAAGGAAGCACATTTTTATGTAACACATGAAACTCATTGCCTCTGGATACTCTTGAAATCAAAAGCTTAATGGAAGCCAGAAATGGATAAATTAGTTACATTACACAGGATTCGTTTCATCTGTAGAAGAAAAAAAATTCTTTGTGCTTCCTGGCAAAAGTTAGATACTAAGTGACGAAAGGAATTAGAAAGATATTTACCTAATTTGACATAATGCAATACTTATCCATTATGGGGCAGTTGTAGCTTCTGCTAAAACAAGACTATCCAATCATAATGTAAAAAGCTTCAACAATTTTGGAATACATACAAAACCTCAGAGTGCCAGCCTACTTTTACCAATAAGGTACTCTGAAGAATCTTTTCCTGAGAGCAAACTCTCTCTTGATTCTTCTTTTTTTTCTTTTTTTTTACAAGGTAATCCCTTTGAAGCAATAGCTGTTAGACATTGCTGGAGAAGGATACTGGATTAACTGTGCTTATAGTGTGACTCAACGTGCCATGTTGCTATGTTTTGACGGATGGAATAGCGGAGTGAAAGTTGCAAAACCCAAGACAGAGATGACTAATCCAGTCCTGGCTTAACAGCAATGAGGGGATGGATTGTCCTGTGCAACATAACTGTTGTCTGGAATATGGCAAAATGTGAAAACTGTGACTGTGTTTAAGACAAAAGTAATTCATCAGTTTGCTGAGCAATGTAAGGACAGGACAAAAACTAGAACACTCCAAACTATTGGCTTGCTTTCCCATTAACACAAGAAGTATTTGGAGTTGGGTGGAGATCAGGACTGAGGCTCAGTTCCATCATTACTTAGATTTGCTTTGCCCAGTACTAATGTTCTGTTTAAATTTATATGCTCCTTTTTAGAAAAGGTTATCACCAGTAGCAACAGGCAAAATATTTAGTAGTGAATAGTCTGCATATTTGTCCTCCAATATCCAAACCTTTGGATATGGAAAATAATTTGGGGAAAAGAGGGATCAGCTTCTGGATCTGCTATCGTTCCAGATACATCCTGATTTTAGTCAGGCAAAAGAGAAGAACTGTCATAAAAAATAAATTCAATGGCTCCTCTATTTCCTTTTCACACCTCCAATAGACACTAACTCCAGGCATCAGAAAAGTTCCTCCATTTTATGGTAACTAGAACCCTATCCCAGGGCAGAAGTATCACTGTACCTGTGAATGGTACTGTTTGACTTCCATTGTGAAGCAAGAGTTCCTGCCCCTTCTGCATGCTATTCCTTTTAACTGCAGATATTTTCATCAACTCGCCTCTGGGGTGAAATCTCTGTCCCACTGAAATCAAAGGAAAACCAGCTAACTTCAAAGTGCTCATGATTTCTGCTATCTTCCTGTTCCACACATTAATTATGCTTTAGGTTTCAAGTATTTCCTTTTATTTGTTTGAACTCCCCTCATTTTACTGCATTCTTCTTTTCCTGTCCCTCACATGACAAGGCAGTAAAGAAACCCAGCTGATTTTCCTTACAGTACCTATTATCTCATAAACCTTTATCTATCAATGCAGCTCCTTTCTGTAAAGGAGAGTCCACATAATTTCAATCTTTAAGTACAAAATTCCAGCCTCTGATCGTGTTCACTGCCCCCTTTTCCTGGTACAATACCTTTGAGCTAAGTAATGAAGATTGACCACAGTATCCAATATCAAAGCATACCATTAGTGCAACATGGCAGACGCAGCAGAGGTCCGTGCCCCCCCGCCCCCTTCCGCCTGCCTTCTAAAAACATGCTTTTCTATTCACCACTGGGCACTGAACAATTACTGTACAGACAAGATGGAAAAAACTGCAAAAGGTTAGAGTGAAACAACATGAAAAAACAGCCCCTCCTTGTGATATTTATGTTTCTGCTGCTGGCCCTGGCAGAAGTCCAGATTCTGAATGCACAAAACTCCCAGTGGCTTAGGGACTACACTATTCAGCCCATAGTCAGGAAATGCAATAGCATGTGACAACAAGAAGAAATAAAAAAAGCTTTCCAATGCTTTTGAATTTCCAGCTCAATCAGTTTGGATCAAAACTCAGGGGCTGTTGAGATTTTGTGTGAATGAGTTCTCTATTGCTAAACAAAAACATGTGTGTGTTACAGTGTAAGACAGTTAAGTGGTAAACAGTATGTGGCTTTGCTTCCTCACTGATATTTCATTTTTACAGTATTAGCACTATAAAACCCCACTTTATGTACAAGGTCACTGTCCTCTCTATTCAAATACAGTGAGGAATTGTTTCCCAAAAGACAAAATCAGTTCCTTATTTTTCCTCCTTTCCAGGAAAGCTACTTGATAACTATTGTTCACTACTCAGTGTTAAATCATTGTTCTTCTACAGGATTAGAATTTAAAGGAGTTGGGTTATGTTGCATGTTTCTTGTCATCCTGTGATCCAGGTTAAAACCATTTCCTTAACAACAGGTTTCCTTCAGGGAACTAACATATTGAAAACTTAATTGTTGGGAAAATAATGTCAAATTATTTTCTTTTTGTGAACACTTAAAATATAAATTAGCCACAATTGTATTACCAGGGACAGAGTGTTTCGGGGCTCCTGCAGACACTGCACAGAGCAGAGATTTCATCTTCACCTTTTCTCCCAGTACGTACATCATTCTCATGGGGCAGATGCTTGTCTTCATAGTCTATGTTTTATCTAGAAGTCACAGGACCACTAAACATGAGACCATATCAGTGCAATATTTTAAACCTATTTTATAATTTTCACCTTTCTTTTGCAAGTTTAGTGACAGACCAATAAAATCAGGACCTTCAAGCCACAGAACACAGAGAGCGGCAGGGGGCTAAGCACTCTCTTGTTGACCATTTCCATGACCAGACAGGGCCAGGTGTAAAATTCAGGTTTCTGTTTACATTTTCCTGAAAAGTATGGGATTTTTAGTTTGTAAGAACATTCCAAAGAGGCCTCACGATTTCAGTAAACTAACATTAACTGTTTCAGAAACCATTTTTCTGTTATGGAACATTTCTTTTTTAATTACAAACTCCCTATGTATCTTATCACACAAATTCATCAAGAGAAAGTAGGTTTCTGCAGCAAGATTGTTATTTGTCAGTGTAAGCAGAACTGAGGACTGACAGGTGGGGACTGACAGATTGATCTGTGTGATTGATGAAAAACAGCGAAGTGTGCCTAGGGACATGGCACAAAGGTGGCTGTCTGCTTGCACAATTGATGGTAGATGCAACTCAAGCAGTGTTTTGCAGGGGGGAGTCACCACAATAGTAGAATCGACTGTGAACCATTTACTTTGCAGCAAATGAAAGGTGTAGTTGAGGCAATTTGGAATCCATGGCATAGTTCTCATTTCCCGGATGCTCTATGGAAAAAGCAACAATTTTCTGGGTCCTTGATCAGATTGGATCACAAAGTTGCAGTCTAGCCCATAAAGGGGAGAGTATTTAAGAACTGGTAGGTTAAAGGGACCATGCCACTTCATGGTGCACAATACAAGGACTTGGCATTCAAAAGCAGCTCCTATTATGTTTTGCTCCCGCAGCAGAAGTGGCCTATGAAATTCATACTAGCTTAATGTTTAAAATATCTGCTAAAATTATGAGAAACATGCTTGCCATCTCAGCCTCCAGCAGGAAATCCTGCACTTGATTAGCACGGATTCTGGCTGGCTCCCCTCACCTCCCCCCAAGTAGGTTTAACATGCCTGAACCCCATCAATCCTAGGGCCAGAGAGCGATGCGTAAAAGCAAATGACACAAACTCCTTAAATGGTCTTGCCTTCTCTGGGTAGCTGGGAGCCTGCTGGAAATAGTTTCGCCAATACTGCATCCCATTGCTTTTGTTTATCTATCCTTGCTGACATTTTCTTCAATTAGGAAACAATAGCTCCGTTCCAATGTACTGAGCAGAATTACTGAAACTGAGTCACGTGACACCATGAGAGTGTGTTTTCAATTATTCACTCTGTCTTTTTTTGCCAGGCCTATGAAGAGGAACAGCCTTCTGCAGGAGTCAGGTTTGTCTGCCTCGCTGTTGTAAGTTCCTCCTTTTGAATTTTTATTTTACAGTTAGGGATTTTTACATTTTTTAACAGTAAATTCAACTCTCCAGGAGTTTCTTACTCCTTATTAGAAAACTTCCAAATCTCTAGCTCTTCCTACTGCCTGGAAATCCTAGACATCTGCAGTAGTTCAGTGTTAATAGTACTGCTCAGTAATGAATCTGACAAAGATGACAAGATCTAGATTAAAATGGGATGCAAGATATCATGCTGTTAGCACTTGGTAATGTAAAACTCATCTTGTTCTTGCTAGTAAAGAAAAGTTCTCTCTTTCCTACTGTCTGGTTAACTGCAGAGCATTTGTATTCAATCTGGGAGCTACACCAAATTATTTGCATCTTGTAAATGCTCGGTTTAATATCCAACCAAAAATTTGAACCAAATGGGCACAGCTCAAATCATGTATTTTGTTTGCAGAAGACAGACTGAGTTAGGGCTTTTTAGACTTAAAGCTGGAAAAATAAAGCTTGGGGGAAAAAAAAAAAAGAAACAGAGCAGGAACATTTGGTTTGCATTACAAACCACAGACAACTTCCATCAGGCGTGCTGGAGGTATAAGAATGGCAAGAGAAAATGACAAGCAGTGAGTGCACTGGAGGAAAAGATGAATGGTTTGGAGAATTGACTTTGAAGTAATTGTCCATGCCACCAATACCTTGAATTAAATTTGGTGGAAGATGGCAATGAATCATAAAGCTTCTCTGGCACTTGAGATATTGTTTTCTGTGTAAAATAACATTTCTGGAAATTTTTATTGGAAAACTTATAGACTATAGACTATATGCTTTTTTGGTACCTCCTATATTTCTGTCACTTATGCAACCCTGAATCAGCAGCTCTGGAAAGGATGTTGCCTTAGTTGAGACTTGGGCTGTGATCTAATACTTAGAGCAAGTATTTAACTGGAAGTCTTCAGGTCTACTGGGTTTATTTTCACCTCAGCCACTGGCTTGCTTTGAGACACTAGGTAAGTCATTCAGGGTTAAACTTGGTCTTTGAGCCGATAGAGCTTTGGTGGGGCTGGGGGAGGAGGAAATAGCTGTTGCAGAGGGACAAAAGAGATGTTCTCTCCGCATAAGGTATAAAAGTTCTCAGGAACATTGCAGGGGGGTGGGATGGCAGAATACACTTAAAACAATGTTTCTGTTGCTGTTTCAACAGGTGCTTCTGTGAGTTCCCTGCATCCCAGATGCTTAGCATGGTCAGAGGCACCTCTTGGAGCATTTAGTACTCATGGCAGTGCTCCCTCTTAAGCTCAGCAGCTTCAGGCAGAAGGAGAAAGGGCTCCTGCATCTCTCCATCCTTCACTGTAGCATGCCAGTCTCCAGAGAGCTGTATTTTGACCATTAAGCTATCAAGTCCTCTGCTTACCCATGTGCTTAATAGCTCTTTTTTAATTCTTTCTCTTTGGGGATTAAGAGTGCAGTTAATGTTTGTACAACATTGAAATCCTTGAATGAAAAGTGCTATTTCTTCTAATTTTCCCCCATAGGCAAGACTGTTTAGGTCTGAATGTGCAACTCGGGCTCATTTCTGACATTCTTATTGCTAGTGTCTAATAGCAATTGCCAGAATCACAGAAGGAGCAACAATCCCTGTTGCAGACTTTCAAATGATGTGCATTCCACACACCTTCAGCAAGTTAGCTCTGTTGCTTCCTACCCAGGTGCTGAGGGGAGGTACTTGCACAAGTTCCCCTCATCCTAGCCATCCTATTGCTTTTTCAGCTCCACATTCTGGTCTAATGGGCCAGACTGCATTGTTACCTACCTTCAGACATGCAGAAAAAGCAACAGCAGGCTTTACAAGATTAATTTCCTAATACACTGGGAATGCTAACAGGGATTTCCCAAATGAAAAATTGCAATTAGGGACATACATATTATGGTAGACTAAAGCTTTAGGCTTACTGAAACACTAAAAATTGTCTTTTTTAAACCAACCAAACAAAATCTCCAAACCTTGAAAGTCTTTATGTATTAGTAGGGATAAGTGTCAGTCAGCTTTTAACTACTGTAATCAACAAAAAAGCATACAAAGAATTGCAAGCTTGTGATGCTGAATTACACCATCAACAACTACTTATTTCATTTCTCAAAATTATTGTTCTAATATAATTCATAGCAGTTTTCATCTCTGTACTTAAAATAAATTACCACATAGGGGTTCTAAAAAGTAGCTTCTCTCAATAGTGCAGGAAGGGAGATTAATCCTAGAGAAATAAGTCCCCATGTCAACCACAAAGTCTATGTGTTAAAGCTGAGCTCCATCTATGTCATACCTTTCCCCATCCCCTCTGGCCTCTGTGTCCTTACACATAGACTTAGATGTCCTTTTATTCAGCGTGTGTTTAGGGAGCGTGGCTGTGCGCTTGGGCAGTCCTCCATCCACACTGTGGCTGCATTCAGCCATGGTTACAAATCTTGCTATTCAGAAGAAGAGAGGCCACTCTGAAAAAAGAAAGAAGTAGAACATCCTGTGTACTGAAGGGAATGAAGAATATGCTAGTTCAGTTTGACCCTGAAAGCTTCCCTCATGCAAGTGTGGGCGAGGCTGGGAGCCCAATGACTTCAGTTCCAATGTTCCTATCCAGTGGGGTCAGACTCTCCCATAGCATCAGAGAGGATCCCAAAGACACACACGAGAGGGGCAGAAAACACACCAGCACTGTGGACCTTGACATGTTCTCTGGATACTTTCAAACTCAAAATTTGCCCCGGTATAGTGTCCTGCTGGGAAATCTGACAAATTCCAATACTCGCGGCTTGAGTTTCTGAAGTGTTAGGGATTTTGTTTTGGAGAAGAGACACCAGGGAGCAGAGCAATATTAAGACTGGTATGATGGAAAATAAGTTATGATGGAAAGCTGTAGGAGAATTACCTATCAAAAAATGCCAGAAAGGACTGCAAAAATAAACATCCTTCTCCCTGGGAGATGAAGGGACCTCTTTGCTGCTCCTGAAAAACCTATGTGCAATTTTTTTTTTCTTTTACAAATCCAAACAAATTCAGAATCATGCTGGATTGTGTGTTTCTCCAGCAATGCCATATAGCTCCTTTAGACAGGTGCTGAATGGCTTAGTGTTCATCATCTGGTTTTGGGTTTTTTTGTTATTTGTATGAAAGGGAGAAAAAAAAAAAGAAAAATAATCCTGCAGATTTATTATAAGGCTGGCTTGGATTTGTTATATGAATCTGGCTTGGTCAGAACTTGCAAGCCTGTGTTTATTGTTGTGGCTGTAAGGAGCCTTTAGCAAATCTGCCTTCTATTTCTGCATCACCAGTGGTAATTCAGGTACAAAGTGCATACATACCTAGCTAATTCTGCATAGAAGCAAGGAAAAAAAAACCCAAACAAACACAACCACCTAGTTTAGAGCACAATGTACAAACTTCTTCTCTCAATAGTATACTTGAGAAGTGCTTTTCAAATTACACTGATTTTCAATTTTGTGTATAACACCTATAGCATCTTTGATTTATGCAAATCCTTTAGTTTCAATAGGTATTTTCTCTAGAATGGCAGCATAGAATATCAGTTAGGTACTGTGAAAAGAATAGAAAAGTTTGTGTAATAAATATGATAATAAAAATTAAGTGAGAAAGTCAAAGTAATTAATGTAGACTTCCTCTTGTTGAATTTTCAGCACTGACACATAGGTACCAAAATATTTCTAGAAAACTTTTTCCGAGAGAAAAAGGAAACAGTTTAACAAAGCTCCCCTTTGTTATTGTAACATGCTCGTTACTTTACTCATTTTACAAAAGCTCCAACTTTTGCCACATTTTGATTGTATAGCATTTCATCCATATTCTCTTAATTTTGTATGCTGAATCACACACTGAAACAAACCATTTCTGTAATGGGACACTTTTTGATCGATGTATTGGAGCTGTATTCCTTTATAGAGTTCAATCCCTAATCAGATATTCACATCTTAAGTGCTTCACTGGATCTCTGTTACTGTTAAATGCATGGTCTTAAGTGAGTTCTGGTCGGCAAAGGTAGGAGTTTTATAGCAGCCTGACATTCCTTACTCTCTCATGGCTAAGATCTACTTTTGCTAAACCACTTACAAATCAGATGTGCCAGGCAGAGAACTTAACCTTGACAATTTGATTAATCTTCTTTGAATTATAGTGGTTTCATGAATCAAACCTGAGAAGGAGCTTCCGCTTTCCAAATAATGTTAGGAGGATAGAATAATGCTTTTAAAGTATCTTCCTTTTCAATTTGGGATTTCAGCGTGCAAATTCAGCAGAAGCCCAAAAGAAGCAGCACAATAGAAGCATCAAAAACATTTATTAAAAGCACTCCATTGTGCTTGGGGAGCATGGGAAGAGAATGAAAAGGTGAAGGAGAATTTAGTAGAGCACTGCACAGAAACAGAATTAGCAAGTCATGAGATATCACGTGGCTGTTAGCAGACTGAAAGGCTCTGTTGATTCGATTTATTCATTAGGGCTTTTCAGTAGTGTAGGTTATTAAGTGGGAGAAAGTGGGGTATATTACAACTTACTTTTTGTATTTCCTTTCCTTGAGGATATTTAGCACCAGAGAAGCGGAGAAAGTTATTGAAAGTATCATGCCACATAAGTGGGAGAATGATAGGAGAAAGAGCAGCACCACCAGTGCTCTGAAGATGGATCGAAAGAGCAATGCTGGGAACAGGAAGTCAAGAAAGTTTCGCTCCATTTCAAGATCACTTATACTTTGCAATGCCAAAAACAGTGATGATGGGTCAAGTCCTGATGAGAAATGCCCTGATCCCTTTGAGATCTCCACCAGTTGGGGTCAAGAGGATTTTGACTGCTGTCCTAGAACACAACTGCCATGCACATCAGAGACAGAAGACAGCCCACCTGATCCTCCTTGTGTGATCACCAGCATGGTCCAGTCCAAAGCTGCAGCAAATGAGAACTGCAACAACATGAGAAGAAAGTTACTCAGCAAGGTAGGCAACTCAGTGCAGTATATTGCAGTAGTTCCTAAATGGATTAATTCATATTTCTCAGGAACACAGGATTCTACTTGGCTTTTTCAGAGCCTTTGAGCCTGCAGTGTTCCTGCCCTGTATAAACAGCATAAAAATGTATTAGCTTTCCTGCTGTGCTGTTGCTCTCTGCTGATTGATGTTCTGCTGAAATCAGTGACTGCTAGGCCACTCTCAGTCTATTCAGACTAGCACAGCTGGTGCTTTCTACCTGCAATACAGTATTCAGCTCAAAATATAAAACTGCCACTATAGTAAAGTGCATTTGTAAAGTGTGATACCATGAGATCTCACAAGCTATGCAAGTATGAATTATATAAATACTACAAAAGACACAGGAGATTCAGCACACAGATGTTCTTTCTCTCTGTTTCAGGAAGGAGGTAGTGATAGCTCTAAAACCACCAGAGATGTACCTTTTTCCTAGAGATGTAAAACTCTTAACAGCCTCATATTACAACATTATTCTTTAATCAAGAAGTAACTATGGTAATGCTAATGATGACAACAATTTTTCAGTCTGAGCAATATATTTTAGATGCCTTTAGAAAGTTCCTTTTCAGTGACATATCCTAATTTTTCCACTTTCTACCTGTTGGTGCGATGTGTAAAAGGGACCTCACTGCAAGTATAACATGTCTTTTAATACAGTTTGTGTCCTCCTGGCACCTCCTTTATTATATGCCTTTTACCTGTGCAAATAGTGGCTTGTGTGAAAGAACCGATTTCTTCACCTAAAATATTTCTTTCTTATATATTCTATTTTATTTTACATACCTTCAATAGAAAATGGCTAAAACTAGATCTCTACATCTAAACACACAGTGGCAGAGTGGTACTGAAAATCAGAATCTCCCCTTACTCCTTGAGTTTCTTGCTAATGATCACAGCATGCAGCCCAATATTGCAAAGACTGCAGCAGGACAGAGTTCTGGATGTGAGGTGTTTCAGCCCCTGGCAAAGTCCCAGCATGAGGACAAAACCAAGCCAACTTTCTATTACATTCTGACAGAAAACATAAATAGGTGACACTGAACCAAGTCCCAAAATATACTCAGTCACCTGCAAAACCATACCACCACCTCCCTTTTGGAAACAGTCCATATGCACTCTGCTGATTTCCTTCTGTGAGTGAAGGAGCTGGCCTCTATGGACTCCCCCTTCTTCTTTTTCAACAAAGCTGAAGCACTTTCTTAGGTGTGTGTCGGCTGCCACAGTCTACTTGCTTTCATACCTCCAAAATGTTTAGGGCTCTGATAATTGTTGTGATCCATACCCATATAAAACTACTCAGTGTCTTATTGCAGACTGTAAGTTCAGATCATTTGCTTTTATAGCTGGCAAGCAGCTCAAATAGGGATCTGGGGAACAGAGTAAGTCTCATAATTAATGCTGTTGCACAGATGAAATATAACTGCTAAAGGTATAAATCCACTCTTAGGCTGGAATGTTATTGTCACTGAACAGGATGGGTCATGAGCCTGGATGGATGGTGACATAAATCAGTCAGCAACCCAGTCCCTTACAGCAGCGTTCGGGTTGCTTAGTGCCATTGTAGACAACGGGTAAATTAAATTCCCTCTACAGAGCTCTTATAGCAATATGAACCTCTTCAGATGCTACTTGCTAATCTTCCATACCTTTTGGAGTCATGGATCAGTGAGTGATTCTAAAAGTCTTATCTCGGCATGCTAAATAGGATGAACTTTGGTAACAGCAATACAGACCTTATCCTGTACTACTGTTGCTGAGGCTTTGCTCTGTATTATGAAAGCAGTGTTCTCTATCTGCCATATGACACAAGCTTGTCAGAACAATCTTCCTGTACCATGTGTCCTAGAGAGCTTAAGCTTAAACCCTATCTCTTTAAGAAGGGACTCAACAAGCATTTTCCACATCCCAGCATAACACTCAGTCTCTTCATCTCCATGTGACACTTCAGAAATTCATGACGTGTGACTCAGAGCTGAAGGATCCTTTTCTTTGTTCAAGAAAATTGATTCCATTCTTTCTGTGGTGTTGCTGAGGATATTCCGCTATTATTCTGCTTTCCAGCGCCTGCAGCCCTAAACATGACTCTGAAGGTGCTAATAACTCCCACAGAACTGAACAACTTAATTTTTGCTGTCACACTGGAAGGAGAGAAGAATGTTTAAAAGTCCTGCATGATTTAACGCTCCCTGTGCATTTCTTCTCCAGAGCTAACGGGGAACCTGGAACATCAGTATTCCAAATACTAGTTCCTCTCTTCTGTTCAAAAACTTAAGTATCTCTCTGAGCCATACTCTGCTGATTGCATGGGATTCACTATTGCATAAACCATGAGCAAATCAAAACAGTGTTTCAGGATTTCTGCATATGTATTTGAGGCACATTTTCCTGATTCCAAAATCTTTAGGATCCCAAAAAGACCTACGTCCCATTACTAACAGTCGGAGAAACTAGGTGCTACTTACAACAAGAAAATGAGAGGTTAAGAGGAAGATTTTTGAAGAGAGGGCATCTATGCATCAGGACATCAATTCCTGTCACTTCAGTCTTCAATAGGAAATGTTGCTGTAGCCATTGAGGGAAGCACTACAGCATGAGCACAACTTACATTGGACTCCAGAGAATCCCCACAGAAACATTTTGTTCTTATCACACTACCTGTAGAAAAGACTCTGAGCTGGAACTCAGATCTTACTATACACCAGAGAATTTCAGAAGGCTGAAATTCTGATGATACCAGGTTTTGTTCATTCTTCTTTTCAATAAAATATGCACAGGTTTTCGTGCCAATAGTGCTACACTGATTGGGGTGGGACTGCAAATTGATGTCACTGTACAAGGGACCACAACCTTGTATCTTGGGTAAATTTGGCTCTTGTATTGCAAAGGTTGGCCCACAGATGCAACAAACTGTCTTGTACCTGTGCAGATATTTTCATTTTTAATCGAAGCATCCATAGTCTGCATTTACACCACTAGTGCACCAAAAGGGAAGAGGATGGACATTATTTAACTGTGATGCTGCCTATCACTTTTACTGTCATGATATGCGGACAGTACCAGATGATAGGGGTTTCAGTTCATAGCTGCATCTTCTAGGCAACTTCTTTCCAACAGTATGGCACACTCACCATGTAAAGCTGCAGGGACTGACCTTTCATCTGTACAGAAGTTATAACAGGTGGAAGGAAATAAGGCTGAGACAAGACTTAAATAGGAGCCCATCAACAACTACTCAGTAGTTCATTACATTCAGGGCAAAAACCTGTCAGTGCTATGTCCATGTGAACTCTGCAGTTACCTCAGACATTTTGATGACCAGATGATCATTCACATCTGCCAAGACATGGCCACTATATATCACATAGGGCCCTGTGTAACAATCCTTAGCGCTTACATCCTTCTTTGACCTCAGCCTACCCTACTGCCACAGATATCTCACTTCCCTGATGAAGTCCTATTTCCAGTCATTTTTTGCCACAGAAAAGCTGCTGCCATGACACACAGAGAATGGAAGAAAACAGGAGATAATCTGCAAAAAGGGAAATGGAGAGGAAAGAGAGAGTGTGGAATTACAATGAGAGGAAAAGAGGAACAGTTAACCATGGAATAATTCAAAGCAAGTGAAGTGAGGGGACGAGAAAGCAACAGTCAGGAGCAGTGAAGGAATGATTATCACAGCAAAGCACGTCACCTAACTACTCCCCACTTCCTATCAAATGGCACATTCTTCCTTCTTCTCTGTGTCCTCAGCTCATTTTGTGCATTGCAACAAGAGCTTCATCTACATGTTGCTCAGCAGAAAGGCAAGTAGAGATGTTCCCACTGAGGAGTATCACTTCATAAACTTCCCGTCCATCTCTCTCCTTCTGCCTGGCTGATTGTACAGGAAAGCAGTAGAAGCAAATAATACATCACCATGCATACCCAGGCAAAGAAAAGCTGTACCAAAATCTAACAGCACATAACAGCTTATGCTTTGTGAGATAGTACCTGGGAAAGGATGTCTCAGTCTGATCCATTAATCTCTACCTCCTCTTCAAAGTATCTCCTTTCATTATATATTCTAAATAGCAAAGATTATCTTCCCCTTTCTAATGTACTGTCAGCAACGATGAGAGCAGATGAACAGTCTTTTGATTCATTTGGATTCTGTATTCCAACATTCACGCATATTGACCATTGCTCATTGCATCTAGAGCACCCAGGATTACTTGGGTGTCATCTGTTCAGCCAGCTCCTGGACCACTTACCCTCCAAGAGGATCTGCACTTAGTGTGGTATGGACAGAGCTGGAAAGCCACCTTGTCAGTATAAACAAGCAGATCTCCTTTATAGTTTGCTTCTCACAAAATCAGCAATTTTCAGGTGGCCTGAAAGGAAAAGAAAACAAAAAAATTACAAGCAGTGTCTGATACCTTGTGCACTGACACAGCAAACACTGTGGAAGATGGCCTTGCCTGCTCATGTCTTTACTAAGTCTGAAACTATGTCAGTTGTAGGGAGAATGGCAAGACTAGATAATATCAGCTCTTATTCTTCAAAGAACAGCAGTATCTGATGGGTTTGACAGCTGCTTCAAGCAGCATTCCATTACCTCTTCCCTGCACCACCAACACCCTGGGAATCACTGAGAGTTGCCAGCCAGAGGGGCTGGTAGTACGTTTAAAATAGCACCCAGAAAAAAACTGTAAGAGGGAAGGGCTGAGTCTTTATGCAGACATTGGATCCAAGCTGATCTGACCGCATGACTCCACTCAGTTCTAGAAACTTTTCTATACTTGTTTCCTTTGGTTCCTGACCCTCTGCTTGAGGGAGGAAAAAGCAAAAGGTCATTTTTCTCCCTTGGTCATCACCAAAATATATTTTTATTAACTCGCCTTTATGCAAACATCAGTTAGCTGGCCCTTTGGTACCAGGACAAGTGTTACAGCAACAGACTGTAATGTCTCAAACATGAGCCTATGGGCAAGATGGAAAAAAAAGCCAGGATAGGGGACTGCATTTATTTAAACATTTATGTGTTCTCCTTCCTTTTCCTACTTGTTCTCTCTTTCTGTCTTCCTGGCCTTCTTGCTTTTGTGACATCAGGGCTATGTTATCCCCAGAGCAAGTTGGGAAAGAGGCTGTTATATTAAGACAGTGTGTGCTGCAAAATGTGGGCCAGGGCAAAGGCTCCCAGAAAAACATACCAAAGGCCAGATGATGGGTGGAAAGGTCTGTCTGTAACATCTGATGTGCTGAATCGTCTATCTAGGGCAGAACCTGAATCCCATGCCCTGCCTCTTGTATCATCCAAAAGCTTTCTAGCTTCTGCCATTTCATTAATTGCAAAGGGAATATGCTGCTTGGAAAATGAATTACATCTACTATAAATATTTTGAAAAGACCAAGGCATCAGCTAGAGTATGTCAGAATTGGTGGAATCACGTCAGTTTATGCCAGAGAGACTCTGGCCCTTTCTTTGTTAGAACTGATGCAGAAAAAAAAACTTATTGAAGAAAATCCCCAAAGACTGTATTCTCTTAATCTTCCACTTGGAAACTGCAGCCATTTCAGAGTCAGGAAGCCAGAAAAACTAAATATTTAAATTCATTATTGTGCTATTGTTAGATTTTTTTTTTTTAACCTTTTTTAAAACAACAGTCAATCAGCTCATTGTCATATGCTTGGTTAACTGAGTCAAAGACCTTGCTTGAACTAGCCTTGTGTAACACTTCATTTCAGACAATCTAACTACTGTGTCTTATGTTAAGAGTGCACAAAAGTTTTTCAGTTTTCCACAGATGCCATGGTTACCCTTATTTCTAAACAACATCTGGAATTAGATGTTTTGAGACAGGACTCTGGGCTAGAAACGCCTAATGAGAGCATGAAGGAAAAAGAAATCTGTTAAATGGCAGATAGAAAAACATCCTCAGAAGCTTTGCATTTTGCATGACAAAAAAAGGGGAGCAGGAGGTGACAGTTGGTCTGGATGTGCAAATTACTTTTCTGGAACTAAACACATGAAAAATTAACCTAATCTCACCTGTGACAAAAATGCATTCAAGAAGGTTCTTGAACTCCACCTTTGATTTTTATCTTTCAGCCAAGCAGATTCAGTTTAAGACAAATTTTGCTTATAATGCACTCCCATACACTTAATTAATTTTGTTTTCACAGCGATGAGTGGATATTATAATGCAGATACAAGTTTCCCCAGAGTCTTGAAGTGCTTGGTGGCAAAGCCCCTTATAAGCAGAGACATTTTATTCACTGGCAGTAAATATACGTTTAAATATATGTTCTAATAACGAGTAGGCAAGGTTGACCTAGAATCCACCTGCCCACACACCAAACCTGACAACTTTATTTTAGCAGATTTTCAGCATTCACTACATTCAGAGCTATAAATCACCTTTCAAAATGAGCAGGACACTTTAAAAAGGAGTAGGATGCAAAATAAATACTGTCTTTTCTCTTGGAACCATCAGCAGTTCTTCTATGCATAAAATAATAAGTGAGCCAGGAAATAAAAGATATTAAAGAACAAAACCCAAAGTGAATTGACTGCTGACACATGAATTGATCAAATGTTTAAGTTTTCTAAAGTACAGCTTTTATTAATTTTCTGTCATGTTGAAATTCCTTGGATGTCAATATAGTGATCTATATCCAGGACCCAAAAAAGTGCAGATGTTGACAACATACAGATATTTGCCACGCGTCCCTATAGCCCAATAAAAACTTTGTTTTTTTTTTTTAAGAAATTCACATAAATGAATTGCAGAAACAATTGACACACAGGCGTTATTTGAAATGTAGCCCAACTTGGTAAGATGACTATGGTAAGATTTAAACAAAAATTGTTCCCAAGATTTTTCTGCAGTGTACAATGGATTTAACCTCTACTTTCCTTCTGACTAAGTGCATTCAACTTACTGCTCTTGGAAAGAATATTCATATCCATTTTTATTTGGTGTCATTTCACATGTATGTCCCAATACAACTCAGAATTTCCAGCCTGGCATGTGTCCCATTGTACAAAACACGTCTCCCCAAAGGACCTACATGGTGCTGCAATAAAAACCCTCAGAGTCAAACCCCTGCACTCTGATGTCCTGTGAAACTGATGAGAGCCAAATGACTTTTGGACAATTAATTATGAAGATTTTTATAAACACCATGAATGCAGCAGCTGTACACTGCAAACAAGTTATAGGAAGGGCATGAAGCATGACTGTACTCTTAACAGAGATGAGTTGGGGACAGTCTGAAAAGGCCCACCATTAAGTTAAAATCAAGAACAAAATGAAGCGTGGAGAACAGCTATGCAAAGTTCTGTGTGTGTGCCTGACCCGTACCTGTGAGAGGATATATAGATATTTCAAGGCAGCAGTACACAAGAGTAAGGATTCCTAAGAAGAGAAGTTGGCAAGTCCAAACTCGAATTCTGACTGCAGAAAAAAAGCAAAACAACTTTTTTTAAACACTGACTCTATAATACAATTATTCTTTCACAACAGGCCCAATCCATGATCAGCTGAGGTCTCAAAATACCTAGCCAACCAGCAGAATAATTTCCTACCTTTAATACCTATCTTACATTTCTCATGTTTTAGAACAAGCATGCTACCCTGTTGGAAACCCTGTGAGCTTCATGTATGCAGAATCTGACCTGTAATTTCTCACAGATACCTAAAACAAAGCACCAATGCAAATAAACAGAAAAGGTAGCTCACATTTTTTGCTACTTAAGATCTGAAATTTTAAGACATCAGAATTCTAATCTTTATTTTGCTACCATGCTGAAGACTTCAGAGCACTGCCATAAGATAAAAAAGCATATAATGTAGTCCTTATTTCAAGTATGTATTTCCCAAGGTATTTACCTTGGGTGAAAAGTAAATATAGAAGCTCCAAAACTAATATTAGAGTTCAAACACACTGGTTTAAAATAAAATTCTGTCCATGCTTATACACTTACCTGTTAGTCACTAGAGGCACTCTTCATGAACAAAAGAGGCTTCGTAAAATTCAGACACTCCTCATTAATGGCAGACAATCTGGAATGCAAGCAAACCCACAGTTAACAAGTCAGTCAATACAAGTATAGCCCTTAGGCATTACCTACTGAATTCAGCCTGCAGTGAGCCTAGGGCTCAAAGTTAAATGCTTAATTCATTCACAGCCTTAGATTCTCTCTGGCAGGTCTCAGAATGGGAGCCAGGCTTCAAGAGTCAGCCTGGAAGATAATGACCTTTATTGACAGTGCTGTAAATTTGAAGTTTGTGTTTGCTCTAAGTCAGGTATGATGTGATCCCTATTGATTTGTGGTGAAAGGGCATAATGATTCTAACCCTCAGGGCTGGATGAACTCTGCTGAGGGCAGAAATGAAGCCCTACTGATGGTGAAGAAGGTGGTTACACAGATTACTGGAAATAGTTCATGCCACTCTGACCAGGGGACACAGGGGCGATACAGACAGTTGACCACTGCTATATTTTGTGGCCTGTCCTAACATATGAAATTTGCCTCCCCTTCAGAAATCTATACCTCAGTCATACAAATCTCTCGGGATCAAGCCTGGATCCAGGATACACTGAGAGCCCTCTTCACTATGTGGAGTATGGAGAGGCTGGCGAGGGCAGAGGAGGTGGGTTCAGCTGGGAGCAGAACAAGTGAATACTTGAATTAGGAGATTTACTAAGCAAATGGAAAAGAAATTGTGTACTAACTTTTTTCCAGCTTTCCCTGTCTGTTCAGAATTTTTAAGTGCTCACGCATTTGTGCTGCAGGAGCATATTTGCTAGACAAATGTGTTGTCCTTCATGTGCTTAGTCAATCCATTCTTTGCTTTACTTACTCATATGACTTAAGACACTCTCTTTCTGTGTGGCCATATGTTAATGATTCATACTGTGTTAAAAATGTGCTTACAATTAGTCCTCCAGATGCAACACACAGACGACGGCAACCTCAACCAGTCTGGAGTGGACAAAGAATCTTCCGCTGTTGCAGTCCTCTCTGCTCCCCCGCCCCCACTTAAGTCAGCAGCAGGGGTGGAGCTTCTAGTGTTTTGTATACGCTGATTTTCCATTCAGACTTCTGTTTTCCAGCGTATTTCCTTTTCTGGCACATGTTTATTTTCCTCCCTGTCTTTTCTTATAACAGTTAGCATAGGCAAAACTTACCCAGTTACTATGAAAAGTCTATTACCTGTTCTCTTCCCCTCTGTGCAAAGGGGCACTCTATTCTAATACTTCCCTCTTGTAGCCAGAAGCCACTGAAGTCCTAAGGAAAACAACCTCTTTTAAACACTGAATCTGTAATACAATTGTTCTTTCACAACTGCACAGTTTTAGAGGCCTGTTCCTGTTCTACTTGGAGGCAATCTGGTTCTAAGAACAAGAACATTTTCTGCTTTTCTTAAAAAGGCTCAAGATAACTGTAAATAACTTTTAACACCCTTGGTACCTTTTCTTTCATGCAAACTTTCATCTTCTGAATCAGGACAGCTGCATCTGCAGGCTGTGTACAACCACAGGGAACAGCAGCTCAGGAATCAAGCTCTCTAGGAGTCCAAACTCTGCATCTCTCTGGAAAGGGTTCACAGGCAACCACGTGCCAGCTGGAGGTGCAGCAAACAGGTACAGTACATGTGAAGTCAGCAAGCTTATTAGAGAGCCATTTGAATCGATTTTGCATGACCAGCTTTCTGTGACAAGCTATGCCTTCAAGCTCAGTTTCAGAGAAAGGCAGTGATGTTTGGGAATCATTTCTTACAGTGCTTTCAGTTGGAGACACAGGTCAAGATTCTAGAAAAATAAAACCATGACCATTCAGGGATCTGATGCTTCTCAATTACACTGAGAAATAAAACCTGGAAGAATGAAAAATTGTACATAACATTAAGTTTTCAAATGGTGTTTTCCGAGTTGCCCTATTAAAGGGCAATGTCAGATGTCACCAGCCTAGCAAGGCCCCTGGAAACCAGTATGAGCCAAAGTTCCTGAAAGGGAGTAAAGCGTATAGCCTCTGCTCAACTTGCAAATGCAAGATGGTGAGAGAGGAGGAATATTTTGCCTGACTTCAGCTATTCTATGCTGTCATCTTAGCCTGGATGTAAGTTCTATGTGGAAAGGCAGCCATTGATCACCAGGACTGAGCAGAAGAGAGCAACAACAGGAAAAAATCCTAGCAGGGGATGGGGTGTATCACACATTAAGATATCTCATGGCAGGTCTGTTCAAGGCAAAGGGAGGACTGCAGCCAACTCCTCAGTTAGTGAGACATGTAGCATAATAGCGCCATACTGTTCTTTGTAAAACAATATACAAGCATGTTCCTTTTTTTCTTTTTTTAAGGGATGGTTGTCTGAACCCAGGGGATGAACTGTTAACACTAAATAGACAATCACTTAAAGATCTGTCCAGCAAGGAGGCTGAATCTCTCATTCACCCAACCACACGGCTGGTGAACATCATGATGGCTAGCAAAGTAAGCATGAAGGTTGTGGTCCCCTCCCACAACCGTGGGGTGATTTGACATTTACTTGAGCAAGAAGGGGAATTTGTGCATCAGACATTTGAAGAACATGGTTTTGCTCTTCCTGACAAAACCCCAAACCTCTTGTGGTCAGACTCTGGTGACTTTCAGCATAGCTTTTGCCCAGATAAACAGAGGCTATGGAGAGGCCAAGGCCCTGGGAAATTCTAGCAAGGGCTGTACAACCCCTCCTTTTAGAAATACATAGCTTGCCAATGTTAATTTTCCATTTGGAAGTTGAGCAAAGGCAGAGGTGGATTTAAGGGAAGATCCATGAGTCCAAAAGTCAGAGCACAGGCCCTGTACTGAAGTAGTTTTGTGGATCTAGGATCTATAGCTAGGAAATTCCCATGGTGAATGTTACTGTAGTCTGCTACACAGAGGGGGGAATTGGAGGCAGCATTAACAGATCAGCAGCCACGGATTGTCACCAAATCTTTCAGCGGAAAACCCTTCTGATCTTTCTTTCACAGAGTCCATTTCATTGGATTAGACATCTTTAATTTCAGGCTTCTTGTCCTCTCATCCCCACCCCAAACTAGATGGCACTGAAGGCTTTTCACTTGCAAATTCTGGAGGAAGCTTGAGGATGATGACTGGACAGAGTTAGTCCCCTACCACACATTTACCACTTCAAAGACAATAGAGCTCAGCCAGAGATTTGTTGCAGGCTTCAGATCTTGATATTTATGGAAAAAAGGCACTTTCTGCTTGCTATCTGCAAATGGGTCACACAGAAAGCTCTGATATAATCCTAGACTGAGAAAACACCCCTGACTGAGGCTGCTGTCAGGTCTGAGTGTGCCTCTTTCTAAGACGGCAGTGAACTGTCTCACCCAGATGTCTGCTGGATTCTGCCAAGATTTTTGTTTATTTTCTCTCCTTTAAATGCCTAAGTGTCCAGAGATGAACTATATTCAACTTTTGTAGCATAGTACCACCCAAGAGGCAGCCAGGTGAACTGTGCATTTAAAGACAAGCCTGCACCAAATTAATTAGGGTTAATAGCAAAGACTTTTCAAGCTAGCTAGCTTGGTAAGAGAAACACTGCAAAATAATTTTCACAATGCCTTTTTAATGATCTCTGCGTTTCTTATTCTGAAGGGTTCCCTAGGGGAATGGGACTGGACAGCCCTAGCAGGATTTTGCTACTTGGCAATGCCTCCACCTGCTGTCGAAGAGGAAAATTACCATTCGTTAGTTCTTGAGGTCTTTCCAAACACCACCACTAGTCGGGCTAGCTTCCAGAAGAAAGTGTTTGCCTTGGTTGGCTCTAGACAGATTAGAACATACAGATTCTGCTCTGATGCTGCTCTTGTGGCCTTAGCCCCTGCAGAATATCGCTGAGCAAACCCCTTTTATATTTGGAGGTTTACTATGTTGCAGTCAGTTTCCATATACTGTCTGTATTTATTAATGTTCTTCCTTTAACTGTGATTCCTTCAGGATCAATGGCATTCCCCATGTCACAATAGAAGCAGGACTTTCAGGAACCGTACACATCCAGAAATTATTCCTTACATCAACTGTTATTGAGATGTGATCATTTATTTATTTTCAAACTGTTCTAAAAACATGCATTTAGAAACCTGAATGTTTTATCTACAAATTTTTATATGCTAGAATTAGTAGCCATAGTTTCAAAAGCAACCAAGAGTTTCCAAGTAGAAGGGGCTGAATTATTGAAAAACACTAAAGCCTCATCCTCAACGGTTTTTAAACACCCAGATCATATTTTGACTAAAAAATATCCCACTGAAATCAGCAGAAGTTAGACACCCATCCACCATTGCAAAGCTGGGCCTAAGAATTTTCCTTTAGAAAATAATGCCTTTCTAAGGTGACGGAGAGCGAGTACCCAAAAGCACCAGTTATCTCTAGAAATTAGGCAAGCATGGATAGAGTTTACCCACACATCAAAATATTAGTATGTCTGAACCAGCTGGGGGTGTCCAATTAATTTTCTGTCCATTTTGATTAAAGACCAGAATCTATTTCTGTCTTATTACTTTGGCAAGTTACAATAATTTCTATAGCAAAGTTTTGAGCTGCATTCTCTTTTATCATCCTATTTATTTTAAATAATTAATTTTGCTTCATATTTTTTTGATTCAGGCTGACATTTGTGCAAGCCAAATTAGGAGAAATTTCATTTTTAAGTTTAGAATTTCTTGCATAGCAATAGTTTTTTTCTTTTTTTTTTTCCTTTTCTTTTTAGGAAACACCAACCTGTAAGGAAAGGCCTTTGGAAATACAAAATGGTTTTCTGCACAGTAAAGCTCCATGTCAACGGACTCGCAGTAACTCAACCAGTAAGTTGTAAAGAAGTAATCTTTTCTCTTGTGATATTCAGGGAGTGCACAGCACAGTGCTTCATCCTGTGATGGTACTGCAGTGTTGAAGGAAACTGCTTCTGTTGTCCAAATTAGTCTGGGATCCTTAGCTAAGAATTGCTGAATGCATAAAAGCATGAGCTTTTATATTCACAATATCCTACAGTCAGAGGCTCTGTGCCTAAGTATTCCATTTAATGTTTTTTAAGTTGTATTCTAAATAGGCCAATGCTCTTTTTGTAGGGAATGTTTGCTTTTTACTATATTTAATGGCTATCCCCACAGCGAGGACTGAAAAGATCACTCCTTTCACAGAGAGATTTACAAGAGGAAAAACATTTCTAAGTAACAGTTACCTGATAAATGAATGTGCAGAAATGTCCAACACTTGAGAAATAACCCAGCCTCTCTCCCGACAACCGACAGGTGTGAACACGTACTGGGCAGGGGAGATGGACTGCGCAGCGCCCAGGAAAGCCGTACCCTTCAGAGACCGGCAGCCCCACCCTCTCCCCACCAGCCGCAAATCTCTTTCCCAACAGCTGGACTGCTCTGGAGGGAGAATGCCCGTAAGTGCTACAGGAAATCACCTGAAAAACAGACAAAACTCTCTCCAGTAAGACTCTCTCAATGACCTTGGCAGTCATTTTCCCGCCAAAACCTACCTTCCTTGAAGGCCCTGTCAGGGAAGATGGTGCACGCTGCTTCCTCCACTTTTTAACCCCATCCCTCCTCTGCGAGGAGTAGGAGAGCGGGAAAGGCTCTGTGCCAGTAAAACCCCATTTCTTCAGCAGCTTCTCCCTCCCGTTGCCCCAGCAGGTTTTACAGTGTGTGTAAATCCCCGTGTGGTTCCACCACCTTGGTAGCCACCCGGAGCCACCTCAGAGCTCACCGCTGAAGAGGCCCTTCCTGGGCGTCTCCCCGCCGCTGGCCGTGGAGATGCTCTGTGCACGTGGCCGATAAAACCCCGGCCTGAGCTTTGGGCCCCGCCGCCGCGAGCCTCCCGAGTCACCTCCGTTGGCCCAGCCATGGCCACAAGCAGGTATGGACTCGCCTCGTGGCTGGTAGTCACCGCCCCCAGCTGCGCTGGCTGCGTGAGGCATCCCGCTTTCTGCCCCGCAGTGAATCAGACATATTTAAACAACCCTGTTAATGTAGGTTAGAGACCGACAGTCTCTTGCTATCCAGATGGATGCCAAGTGATTCACCACAGGCTGGGAAGTGGAGGTTGGGCAGGGCAGAGAGGGTGTGGGTATTTATGGCCGCAGGTCCCCAGGCTCAAGCCTGGAGTGGGGAGATGGAGGTGGAGCTCCTCACCCGCAGCTGCCACCTCCCGCCCTGCCTGAGGCCTGGCTGGGGCACTGGCCACTGCTCCCCTGCCTTTTCCTGGCCAGTCCCTCGCCCTGGGGGCACCACAGCCTGACCGAGGGCTTTAATGGGGGCAAGGAGGTGGCAAACTGGAGCACAAACACCAACCAAACAACACCCGTGCAGACAGACAGACCCTCAGGGATTTGCTGGGCTTCCTCCTGCCTGAAGGTCCTATGTCGCAGATGCTGCCCATCGGCAGAGGCTCTTCGGTGGCATCCTGGTTTTGGGTATCATTACCCACCACACACAGAAATACAAAATACACCCCCTCACACAGAAGCAAAAGAAATTTGAAAACTTCCAATTTCAGGTTCAGAAGACCCACAGCAATCACCCTGATCTGGCAGAGGTATACTTTCCAGAGAGTACGTTTTTGGTATTGCACAGACATTTCCCTCTTAATCACGTTCCCAATCCCACGTTGAATAAATAATCTTGTTTTCATGTCAAAATTTAGACTTATTTTCTCACACATGCGGAAGCTGAAATTATGGCTGATGTTCCACACGCTTCAACACCTGTTTCACTTTGCTGCGTTAAAAAAAGGTGTTGAATTCTCTTGGACTTGTAATGAGTGCAATTAACTCTGGCCCTG